AAGACTGAGTTGGAGTTAATATGTGTATTATAGTCCTATAGTACTGCTTTTATGAAATTGGGTGCACCAGAGTTTGGTGAATATATGTTCATGATTGTAATATCTTCTTGGCCAAATGTTCCTTTGATTAGAATGAAGTGACCCTCTTTATCTCTTCTGATTAGTTTTAATTTGAAGTGTATTTTGTCAGATATTAGAATTGCAACCCCTGCTTGCTTCTTAGTGCCATTTGCTAGGAATATTGTTTTCCAACCTTTCACCCTAAAGTAGTGCCTATCCTTGAAGGTGAGATGAGTTTCTTGAAGACAACAACAACAACAAAAAAATGGATTTGTTTCTTAATCCATTCCACTAGCTTGTGTCTTTTGACTTAGGAGTTGAGACTATTAATATTTAAGGTTATTATTAAAAGATATGTATTGGCTATTGTCAATTTAATTTGTTTGTACTCTTGGTCCAATTTTGTGTTTCCATAGCTATACCTTCCTTTGTTTTCTTTCTGTAATCTCATGGGTATACTCATTCCTTTCTTCAGTCCTTTGTATTGCTTCTAGTATTCTCTGTAGGGATGGTTTGGTGGACATGAATTCTTTCAGCCTATCATGTCATGGAAAATTTTTTGTTCATCTTTGTCTATGATAGATAGTTTTGCTGGATAAAGTTTTCTGGGTTGGCATCCGTGGTCATTTAGAACCGAGAATACTTTGGTCTAGGCTCTTCTGATTTTAATAGTTTGCATTGAAAATTCAGCTGTAATTCTGATGGGTTTTCCTTTATAACTAACTTATTGTTTTTCTCTAGAGCTTTCAGTACCCTCTCTTTGTTCCGTTCATTTAGTGTTTTTACTATGATATGCTGTGGGAAGTTTCTGCTCTAGGCTTGTATATTTGATGTTCTATGTGCTTCATGTATCGATATAGGCAAGTCTTTCCTTAATTTGGGGAAGTTTTCTTTTATAATCCAGTTGAAGATCTATCTGGTCAATGCATTGACCCAAGATTCTTCTCCTTCCTCTATCTATGTCTATGACATGTAGCTCATAGGCATTGGCCTTTTCATGGTAAGATTGCTTTATTTTATAAATCTTTCTGCTGCTTATTTTCCTCAACTTAGAGATGTCCCGACTTTTCATCTATGCTGCACAGTTTAGTTAAATCTTTGCTTGTTTGTCTATTTTAACAAAAATGTAGATTCTCTACCAAATCTGTAAAATGGAATTTCCTATTAAAATGTTTTCCAACATGCTAGTCACTGAAAAACCATTATTATAATATATACCATCATACTTTTCCTGTAGTCTAAGAAATTTGTCTTAAAATATACTATTTTATAATATTTTCAGTAATTAAATATATGTAGATGGCTTAACATTTTGATAATATTCAAGGAATTTCTAAAATGTCACATAATGTGAAGATGGCGCGATTTCCACAACGAAATGCTCTTAAATTATTTAACATGGAATATTCTATTCAAGTAGCAGTTATTTAGCCAAAGGCATTTTAATCACAGGCTGAGGTAGCCAGTTTGAATTTCTCACTGGTAAGCAGAAAACTAAATGGTCTAAGTGACAAGCACTTACTTGGGAGTCTGGAAGTGTTTGTTTTATGTAGTTTGATCCTTTATCTGAAGTGCACATGAGCCATGCATTTTGAACTTTTTACATTTTATGAACTGTGTTACAGAAATACCATCTGTGTTGTTTAAAACCCTGATGGCGCTCAGGGAAGCAGGGACTGAACATTATTAAATTATTAAACCCATTGCAAGTTTTGCAAAAATGTGTGTGTTCACATTGAATAGGATAAACTAGTGTAGCTTAGGCTTGCCACCCAATGATTTGATGTCAGGTTGGGTTTGCTCACCACATTGATAGTGAAGTGAGAATTATTTTCAGAAATTTTTATAAAATCTGCAGTGGTTCTGCTAATCACTCGTTAGCTGATACTGGTTTTTCCTGAATCTTAGACTCCTTAAATTTTGAAAGGAGAAGCAGGACTAAGTGAATTGTTAGGAATTTTTCAAATTCTAAATCTGAATGTCTACTTGGTTCTTTGACATAAGAAATGCTACTACTGAATCCATTACATACACCCATATTCAGTGATCCTTAGAAGCTGAAAATAGTCTTGAAAGGTGAGTAGTAATTGTATTAAAAGATCTAATTATGTATATCAAGAAGTGCTTTCACTTGATCTTCTGTATAATTGGACCAGACTAGGTTTTAAGTTCATGAAGACAGAATAGTTTTGGGTTACAAGACTGATTTCTAGAATTCATTCAAGTGGGAGATTTTTATGATCATACTTAGAATTTGAGGGGCTGACAAGATGATTCAACAGGCAAAGACACTTGGTGTCAAGCCTGATAACCTGTTTGATCATTGGAGCCTACATGATGGAAGGAGAGAACCAATTCCTGGAAGTTGTCTTCTGTCATCCACATGTGGACTATGGCAAACACATGCATACACACAAATAGATACATAAATTAAAAAATGTAAACAAATAATAAAACATGAACTATGTATAGATGGCAAGGAACACTATATGGTTTTCATGTTTGTTTGTTTGTTTTTTTTTCTCATCAAGCCAGGAACAGAAAACTACACAGGATTAAGCATTATTAAACAAAGGTAGCTGAAACAGAATCTGAAAAGTCCTTTTTGTTTGAGATCCTGAATCTTCAGATTGGAGAGGACCCAGATTCAGTTTCTGGCACCCACATGGTGGTACGCTTGCATATGTGCAGATAAAACACCCACACACATAAAGCAAAAATAAAAATAAATTTAAAAGATGATTGAGATTATTTGATATGGTTTGTATGAAATACACAAAAATTCAGTAAGAACAAATTTTAAAAAACTTTAATCTTATAGCTTGGACAAGGAGGCTCCTAGATTGAGGGGATATAGTCCATCATGGGGGGAAGGTATGGTAGCAGGAACACCAGGCATCTGGTCACCTTATGTCCAGAGACACAGATGAATGCTGGTGCTCATGATTTCTTCTTTTTGTTCAGTCTGGGCCTGGTCCATGTGATGGTGCCATGATAAGATGGTCTTCCCTCTTCAGTAAAACCTCTCTGGAAACTCCCATATCCAGAGGTATGTCTCCTAGGTGATTCCCAATCTAGTCATGTTGACAATGAAGTATGACCATTACAAGACATAATCATAAATAAGAAAGAGCACACATGTCCATCAAGGGAGAAAACATCAAATTAGTAAATATGCAAATGTGAGGACAGATAGGAATTATTATGGAAAAGACAAAAATTGGATGGGAGAAGCATGAGGCCTGTGCTTATTTAGGTGGGAAGGTCTGGTTAGGTTTTTCAAGCAATAGTGGCTTGACTCTATAGAGGCAATGGGAATGGGCAGGTTGGATATACATTTTGGAAGAGGAATCTTATTGGATAATATTCAAGTGTGAGTAGAAATCAAACTTTAGGGAGGAGTACCAATATTATTAGTTTAAAACACAATGTTTGTGAACAGAGACCTATTAGAAATTATACACTGGAGTTTATGACCCTCTTCCCAAAGCTGGTGAGAAGTTTGCATGTGGTATGTTGGCAGAGCTTTCAAAGAGTCTTGTACCTTTGCTATTTTCTTCTCCATTTAAGATTTAGGTTACTGAAAATACCAGTAGACATGGGTAGTTTAGCCTACTGGATATGGAACAAAAATTTATGAAATGAGGGTGTTAGGACTTAAAAACCACTTGATTAACCTGCTGGCCATGGAGGTGATATGTTCTTAGGAAGATGTTAGTTCACTTCTGTGTTAATGTAGGGTGGGTTCTCAGGAAGCAGGTACTGAGACAACTTTTGGGGTGCAAGGTGTATATCAGGGCCCTATACCTATGAAAGGAAGGAGAAAGAATCAGGGTGAAGCAGGCACAGATTGACAGAATGGGCAGCCCTGGAGTGGGTTTACCCCATGAAAACTTTTATTGGCCTTATCTTGTATCATACCCTGCCTTGCTTAGTCACTCATCAAGGTCTGTCCCCAAAAAGTGTAACAGAGAGGCTGCCTTTAGACTGTTTCCAATAATGGCAACAAGTCCCTCCAGGAAAAGAGTTGTGAATCTGGCTGGTGTACTTTTCACAAGTGAACAGTAGAAGTAATGAGGAATTAATTCTTCAATTGATGGGTTTCTTTCCTTCCAGAAACCCAAAACAAAACATCCATTCCTTCCTATTCTACAAATGTATCAGTTGGGATAATTGAATAAAGGTGAATTAGGAGGGAAAAGTTGGGGAGGCGTGATCAAGAATAAGAAGGCACAGGAAAGCAACTGGGGAGATAACTGTCAATAAAGTACTTGCTATGAAAGTCCAAGGATTTTGAGTTTGATTTCCAGTATCTGTGTAAATGCTTGTCATGGTAATAGGTGCTTATAATCTCTGCACTAGGGGGATGGAGACAGGTCCATTCTCACTGGCCAGACTTCCTAGTCTAATCAGTGAATTCCAGGTCCCAGTGAGAGACCCTGTTTCAGAAAGCAAGGAGCATGGCTCCTGAAGAATGACATCTGAGAACGATTTTTCACTTTCTTCTACACACACTGATATATGTGCACACTCACCTCCCCCAACATGTGCATCCTCCCACAAACAAGCATGTGCATACACACACACTCAAGAATGTCATGGAAGAAATACACTGGAGTATAGGGCTACAGTACCCATTCCTGGGCATCACTTGAAAATATTTAAGTCAACACAACTTTAGAATATTTTATTTATTATTTTTTATGTGAGTGTTATTCCTGCATGTAGGTAAGTGTGCCAGTGCTGTGCAACACCTGTGGCTCCCCTGGAACTGGAGTTACGGACAGTTGTTAGCTGCCATGTGGGTTCTGGATTCAAATCCAGGTCTTCTGCAAGAACTGTGCTGAGCCATGTCTCCAGCCCATCAACACATCTTTAAAACATTAAAAAAAATATTGTGAAATTTAAACTGTCTCTTGTTCCTTAACAGATGCAAAAACATGAATAAGAGAGATTGGTCATTCATGACAATTCAAAGAAATGCCAGCTCAGGTATTTTTTCCAACTGTGCTTTTTGATTTATAGTATATTATTCAGTTTTGAAATAATATAAAGGTGGAATGCTGATTTCCAAAATCTTAATAAGGAAAAGCTAATTTTTTTGCTTGCATTGAGTGACTCCCAGCTCCCTTGTAGGGTGTCTGATTTAAATATCATCAGTGGCCAACACAACACTGCCTTCCTTTTCTGTGTTTGTCCTAAAGTCATTAGGAAAGCTTTAACATAATTAGTTACTTGTATTTGAAGTAAAAATGCATTTTCGTTAAAATAATTCAGGTTATTACAATTTATAGTACTTGGCCTCGGGTTATCTTCTTTCTATAATTTGTTTTATCAAAAAGGATAGTGTTGTGTTAAATTAGGATTTTATATGTCTTAGGATAGAGAGTTCACACATATTTTACATAATTATAATTTTATTTGAGCTATTAAATATTTAGTTTTAATTTTTAAGTCATTTTTCAAATTTAAATTATTTTGAGTTTTCTAGATTGGAAATGTATCTATGACTTTAAAAATTCTACTTATGTGGTTTGACTGAGAGAGGTGTGATACTTGAATACTTACAATTGATGCTTAACACATTTAAAAAACAATGTCTTAAAAGCAATAAAGTTAAATAGCATCATAGTATTCTAGCGCTGACAGTGTTCTACCTGTCCCTTCTATGCCCCTTTGGAAGAAATGATATGCAAGGAATATCGCAGTCACATTCTAAGTGTTTAGAATTAAAGTATATTATAAATATTGTGATAGTATGATTTTTTTAAACATTTAAAAGTAAGATTCAAACTCAATACTTTTACCATACTAAATTTGAATAACATGATACTATCTCTTTGTTGTTTTTCTGTTTTTTGAAAAATAGATAATATGGAATTCCACATGAAAAATGGAATGAGACATTCCAAATATAAGCCAGCAGACTATCAGCAGTTGTATGCCTTAACTGAAGCCAAAAAGTTAGCTTCTGCTTCCACAGAGCTGAAGGTTGGAAGTCGTATTTTTTTTTTTAAGTTTGGAAAATTGAATTGCTAGGAAATCTAATAGTATTTACATTTCAAATGGAAAATAACTGATTGTCTAGATAGCTTTTAGAATCTCCCAATATTAGTAATATTGAACAGCAGCTAACATTTATTGAATGTTCTGACAGTTACATAGTTTGCATGCATTATACAATGTTATTAACACCTCTGTGAAGTCTTAATTTGATTTTTGTAAAGATAGTAATTTATTACCATTGACAATTTTCAACTTCATCTGAACAATACAATGTTCTGGGATATGCCAGCCACACCTTGTTTTCTGATTCCAAGCTCTTCTTCAACACATATAAATATAAATGTCTTCAGACATTTCTGTTCTAGAATTCTCTTTTCTGCTCAAGAATGTGTTCAATGCTATTAAAAGGTTAACATGGAGTAGATTTGAAAGGGGCTGTGTGCAAATGATTGTGACAGTACTTGGAACTGTGTATGGCCTAGGATTACTCACACAGTATATTTCTCTCATGCAAATAATAGAGTTCATTAAAAATGGCAATTTTTCCATTGCTTGGTAGCATTGAAAAAACTGGTGAAGCGATACATTAATTTACAAGTTTTCATTTATATTCCAAGTTTTACTGTTTGGGTGGTTTCATGTGGCTATTTATTATTAATGTGTTTTTAAAAGACAATTATTATTGCAAAGCACATGTGATACTTTAGTCTAGAGAAATTGCCATATACCCACCGGTTATATCACCATAAATGAAGGCAACTATTTAATGAAACAAGGTGTTATTTTATTTGCTTCAGATATAACTTTAAAATGTCTTCATGCTTTAAAGACATTCCAGGCAATTTTACAGAAAAATCTCATAGCTGTCACTATGATAAAGCTAACTGTGACTTGTGTTCTGACCTACTGCACACAGTTAAAGTACGAATGTACATACATATATAAAAATTTAACACATATTTTATTTTCTTCCATGAGAAACATGAATATGGGTGCTGGAACCAAACCTGGGTTCTTTGCAAGAACAGCAAGTGTTCTTAACTGCTGTGCTACTGCTCCATTCCTTACACTTTTTATTATGTTGGGATTAAAGAAGATGTGTTAAGAAGCTATTGTACATGACTTTTGGAGTTTTTCTCTTCTCATTCAGCTTGGAGGTAGCAGGTTGACATTTTACTTTTAATTTACTTTTTATTTTTAAAGAGTTTATTTAATTTTTAAAAATTTTTAACAATTTAATAACCACCTGATTAGAAGAAGCATTTCATTACAGCTTTAACACATTCAGTAACACATTCCAGAGCAAGGATACAAA